GCTAATTTTACTGATAAGAAACTGACATATAGCAGTAAGGGTTTCCCATTAGTGCCCCCTTTTCGTCTGTGTTCCGAAGCCCCATTGTGAGTGGGGGGAGGGGGGGCTGGAACAGACACACTGCGTCCCCAACAAGCATGTCGTAAAAGGGGGCATCCTTCGAAGTCCATCTGCCTGAGAAGCAAGGACCTAAGAGTAGACATAACGATATGCCAAATTGTGAAAGCCCCACAGTTAGGTTGGGATAAATTAAAATGTGTGTGTTCATCCCAGCATATCGTTTAGACGGTGGTTCTCAGCCTTCCTAATGCTGCGACACTTTAATACAGCTCCTCGGGTTGTGGCGACCCTGTGAAAGGGTCGCGATCCATAGATAGAGAACCATTGGTTTAGAAGGCAGTAAATATATTTTCCCCTTTCCTAATATATCACCCCCCCCCCCACCCCCCTCCAAGCCTAATGCGTTCCAGAGCATACACGGGGAATATGTTTTACAGGGGACAAATTACAAGCCTTATAAGTTAAATTTGTCCCTGTAGGGACAACTAACTCGCCCAGTATGTTTTAATATTTTACAAGCACAGCTAACTCACCAAGCAAAAAACATTTTTAACAGGGACAGCTAACACATTTCACTTTTTACAGGGTCAAGAACAGGTGCTTCCAAAGCGTGAGTTGTCTGCTCGTAGCAAAGGAGCACCCAGGATCTCTCGAACCAAGTCAGATATCGTCACCTCTACCACAAATGGTCTTCCCAAGTTCGAGACTAACCCAGAGACAACAGACCATTCAGAAATGATGTTCTGCCTGCCAACTGATTCCTGCATGCATCAGGAAAGGGTCAAGCAATTTCAACAAGCCAGGGCTTCGGAGACTCGTGTGTCTACAGCCGACGGGATGCCTTCATCTACGGTAACTTGTGTGATGCCAAAGGAGGAGTGGGATGGTAATACCTCTTGTGGTTCTGTAGGGAGCGCCAAAAGCAGCAACCCAAGGGTTAGTGCACAACAGCAAAGTTGTATACCAACCACAAAACTCCAAGAACATCCTCATCCAGTTGAAGTTGTAACAGTGGTTGTCACCGTCGCAACAAACGTCCCAGCTGTTTCTCTCCCTGCCACTACTTCAGTGTCATTTCTCAGCCCCGAATCTACAGCGTTGTCTCCTGCAACATCAGCAAATTTATGTACCACAAAAGACATTTCACAAAACACAGCTGTAGCAAAGGAAAATAGCTTAAAGAAAGTGTTATCGGAAAAGATTCGCTCACGCCAAATGACAGACGACTCATTGGCTTCAATGCCGACACACAGCTTGCAGTTCTTCACTGACCAGGTAGCTAGTTTAGGACTGGACAACAAATTCACGCCACCAGCTATGATTAAACAAGAAGACCCTTACGAAGAAGTCCTCTATGACCACCAATATACGTACAGCTCTGAAATTTCCAACAGTATAACTTCATTTCCAAATTGCTCAACGCTGAACTTGTCTTCATTTGACAGCGGATCTCAAAATCTGGTAGCTATGACTTCATGCGAAGACATAATAGGGTCAAATGATGCCAACAATAATGGTTTAAACGGTGTGCCGCATTCTTTGCCCCAACCCACGAAAGAGTGCAGCCTAGGTCCCACGACTACATGCAACCTAGGTCCCACTACTGCATGCAGCCTGTCTACCAGCCCCTGAAATATTGGACTGTACCGTGACCTGTGGCTTTCCCCTATTTGGTGTAAGATATTATTAAAGCACCCTACAAGGGTCCTCTATTACTACTTCTTTTTACCAGGGGGTTTCCGTGGAGAAGTGGTCACGTCGTTTGCCTCCCGCTCTGAAGGTTGCGGGTTGTTTTCACGTCGGCGACGTTCAGGTTTTCACTGAGATCCCTAGGCATCGTCAAGGAGCTACGGAGGTAGTGCTCTGTGCGACACTTTAGGCAGGTGTCTAGCCGTTCTGCGGAGAGAGTAACTGAGCCGTATGAGTTGAACCTGGGTAATTTTACCTTCTCTTTTTTGACAAGAAATTAATCCACTAAACTAAACGCTTAAGGAACGGGAGAAGGATAACACCGGGTATAACACAGACAAATCGACGTTTTGGCTGGTGGCTTTTCTGGATATGAACTAGTTATTCAGTAATGACAAAGGGGGAAGTAGTCCAACCGCCATGGCCCACAAGGAAGTCAAGTTAAACACTATTAAAGAATATGAAGAGAAAAAAGGTGACGTAGAGTGAATAACATAAAACAGAATAAAGTAAGATTTGAAAATAGTCACGAAAATAATTGAGATAATATATAATAAATAGAAGGGATAAAAGAGTAGTAGGAACAAAAGCGTTAATGATCCATGGCTGGTAATAATAAGAGATAGAAAAAAAAATAGTAATATAATATTTTTTTTTTTTTTTTTTAATGAGAAAAAAAAAAGTAAAACTTTAAAAGATTTTACTAGTTTTCACCTTTGAATTGGGCCGGTTCTTACCATACTTATCATTA